ATGTTTAACTTCTTACATGACAAGGAAAGCAAATGGACAATGTGAATTAAAGAAAAGATTTTAGCAGTTACAAAATCAGGGCTGTTATGAATATACCAGTGATCCAACTAAAAAAGCTGAAGCTGCTTTGATGCAACATATCCAAAAGTGCCATTTGGGGAAGTTACCAAAATATTCCCAAAGATCAAACAAAGATTTTCTTAAGCAAATTAAGTGCCTTGGTAGTATGTTTGCAAGCCAGTGCTTTGAAGCCAGCACTCACATTTATATTAAGCCTTCACAAAAATAGCAATAAAGCATATAGAGGGACTACCACCAGTTTTTATGGTGCATAGTCTGACTTGATTATCTCTACTATAAACAGTAGGCCTGTCTTAACATACTATGTTGCTTTCCTTTCCTTTCTAGGGGCCATAATTGAGAATATTCACCAAGACTTGAAACTAGGGCTTGAGATCATGTAAAGGTCACAGATCAAGAGAGCTGAAGAGATGTGTTTCCTTCTTCTAGACTTCTAGGGCTGGACTTACACTATGTTGGCAATGGTATTCACTTGCCCATCTAAATAACTGAATTTAGGTGTTCCAACCACTTTCATGGTAACAGATGTATAAAATCAAGCACCTAGTAATGCAGACTGCTTCTACAAACATTTGTAAAAGAATGGGTTGTTCTCTGGAGCTCAGTGAATTCCAGCTCGGTACTGTCAAAGGATGCCACTTGTGCAAAGTCCAGTCCAGAGGAAGCAATTAGAAATAACAGCACCTCAGCCACGAAGTGGTCACACAAATAAAATCACATGTAAAATCATAGAGCGGGTTCAGCATATGCTGAGGTCCATAATGGGTCACCAACTTAACTCAATAACTTCAGACCTCCAAACCTTATGTGTCAGATTAAGAACAATGCACAGAGACCTGCATGGAATAGGTTTCAGTGGCCAAGCAGCCCCATTGAAACTTTACATCACCAAATGTGATCCAAAGCGTCAGGTGCTGTGATGTAAAGCATGCTCCCACTGGACTCTTGAGCAGTGAAGACCTGTTCTCTGGAGTGACAAACCACACTTCTCCTTCTGGCAGTCTGATGGATGAGTCTAAGTTTGGCGGTTGCTAGGAGAACAGTACTTATCTGACTGCATTATGTCAAGTGTAAAGTATGGTGGAGGGGGGATTATGGTGTGTGGTTGTTTTTCAGGAGTTGGGTTCAGCCTCTTAGTTCAATTGAAACTTTTTGGGAAAGGTCTGGGGATGGCCCCTTCCTGTTCCAACATGACTACACACCCGTGCACAAGGAAAGGTCCATAAAGACATGGATGAGCGAGTTTGGTGTAGAAGAACTTGACTGACCTGCACAGAGTCCTGACCTCGACCTGACAGAACATCTTTGGGATTAATTAGAGTGGAGACTGTGAGCCAGGCCTTCTCATCCAACATCAGTGGGTGACCTCACAAATGTGCTTCTAGAAAAATGGTCAAAAATTCCCATAAAATTCAAAAAACAACTTTCAGGCAATCAGTCAAACAGCTGTTGAGACATTACTAAAACATAACATATCAACCTCATGTGGAAATAGTCATTAGATTAGTCTGTGATGAACAAGAATTCACCTGACTGTTGTTGTTGATTGTTGAGATATTTGGGTCCACTAGCGGAATAGCAAAAAAAAAAAAAAAGAAAAGGAAAAAAAATGCCAGCACCATTCAGTGTGCACAAAAAAGCAGTTTGCATATATGTGTTTTGTTTTTTTAATATTTGCCAAAAACCATATCCTCATTTCACCCAGAGGTCTCTAACCTTCAGGATTAAGCCTCAGTTTTAGTTCAGCAGTGCACACACTCATCCATCTGTGCTGCTGCTGTCCTCATTTCAACACAGCAGCTTTTGAACTGGCACGAAAACAGAGTACTAGATACTGTCAGGAGGTGCAGAAATACAGTCTGTAACTCTTTGATGACCTGCCAAGAGAGCATTTTTCACATTGATATTAAGATGGCAAGAGAACGGAGAGGGACACAATCACTCAGCATGGTATAACCAAAATGATACTTGTACACAAAAGTTGTGCTTCTTTTTTATACAACAGTTCATCCTTCAGTACATCTAATGCCTCGCTGTTTTTGAGTCTTCTGGGTGGTTATTGTCTAAATGTGAACAGTGTAATGAGTATCTAAGGTGACTAACCAGTGACTGGGGTGATTCATAAAGCAGCCTTCTTTTCACATGCAGAGAACCTGTGTTCTCAGTGCTCCCTTTGGTCCCCGGAGGTGATGAGTAGCTCCAGTGTCGATACAATGGCTGCACTGCAGGCCATTCAACTCCTGTGCAGATTACAGGGTTTTTAAAAGCTGTATGATCCTGCACAATTATTGAGCCACTTCTCCTGATGACAAGGCCTTATTGGAAGAAGATACTGACTTACTGATTATAACAGTCATCCATAAGTTAAGTTTGTAAATATAAGTCGCAAAACTCTTTTTTGAGGGTTTTGCATAAAATGAATTTTAAAAAACAAATAAAGAAATGAATCAAACAAAAAAGTCATGGTTTTAGAGTGAAACTGAGGGCTGCTGATGATTGATGGCAGATATAGTAATGTGCATTAGAGAACATTACTGTTCTCTTACAGTGGAGTCATGGATGAAGGAGCATATGGGATGGACAAACTCAGGCTTGTTGAAAGACATGGATTACTATTATCAAGTCACCGCTGTTGCTCTATAATAGTGTCAGAATACAGTTTCAACTTGAATACCAAAGTGACCCCACCTAAACAAACAGAGAGCAGCAATGTTGGCATGAACACTCAATCTTTTCAACAGACAGATAAATTACAGTTTGGAGGTAGAGAGAAAAGATGAGAACTTAGCTGTTAGGCAGCAATTTCGTGCAAAGCGCAAATTCAGAGACTTAGCGGGAGCTCTACGTGCACATCTGAGCAACGATTTTATTATAAAATCATATCTTAAAAAAATCGTTGTGTGGAGCCACAGACATTTCAGTTACCTTACAGCAGAGGTGGATAGCTTTCAATCAAAATAAGTTACTGTATTACACAGCACTGTCTTGTGCTGAGGTCACAGTCTGTGCTCCAAAATAGTGCAACTTTAGGAGATTCACCTCTGCTAAAAGTTACTTTCAGTATTTAGGACAGCTGATTAGATTAGCTAGAAATGTTGGCCCATTAAAGTACTCTGTAATTGAAGTAAATAGATGAATATCTTGAGTGTTTCAGTTTGATATAAAATACTGATAACATCCAACTTTAGCTGCAGTTTCCAAAAATACTGACTCGATGAACTGCTAACAGGTTGAAGCTTTATAATTTAAAAGTAATATCCTCCCCACAACTGCCAGATGTTGTACATCTTATTTCTTGATACAAATGGCATCCATATGTTTAAGTGTGTGTGTGTGTGTGTGTGTGTGCAGATGAATGTATGATTACATTCTGTTGATGAGAGTCATTTTTACTCTGTTTCCATCTGGGGACCAAAATAATGTCCCCACAAGGTAAACTATTTATTTTATGGTCACATCTTGTTCTTATGGTGATGCTAATGTGACTTTTCTTTCCTCCAATTTGGTAATGACTGCTCGGGTTAATTACAGGCGATGTCTAAGTTATTACTGTCCTTAAAAAAACTCACACTGGTAGTAGGTTTGTGTGGTCCCAAATAAAATATTACATAGAATGGGAAGATCCAATGATCAAGACTTCAGTGACTAAAAGAAAACACAAAGACTAATTTATAAAGGTTTCTATTGTTTGACGAGTACACTCAATTATTTAAGCAACCAAATGATAGTTTCTGTAGTAACATTAAACAGACATCTGTGTTTCTGTCACTTTCAGACCCTTCCTGTGTTTCCCTGGGGGTTTGGTAATAAGTAACATTATCTTTGTTTGCTTTCAGTGTGCAAGCGGATGAATCAGAGAGCGACTTTGTAAACTTTAAAGAACAGTGTTAGCACACCATCTAGTGGGGAAATGTGCAGCATACACAGTGTGACAGAATCTCTGGGTAATCATTGGGGATTTCTAAATCTGTGTAATCATCAACATTATTAGTTTACCTTAAACTGTAATATTAAGGCTGAACTCCACAGTCCCACGGTTACAAGCAGAGTCCTTCCCTCTCTGTTACCGAGTTTTTTGCCCACTAAAGAAATTAGTCCTCTGTGTACATGAAAAAAAACACAAATATGCTCTCAAATATGTTCTTTTAATACAACTTAATATTTACTGGCTTCTGCAAATATAAAGCAAATATCCACCCATCCATGTTCTGCCACTTATCATCTCTGCTCATACTGTTGCAGAGGCAATAGTATGAGCAGAGATGCCCAGCCAGCTACCTCCAGCTCTTCTTGGGGGGTTTTACCAGGTAAGCTGAGAGACACGAGGTCCCCTGTGTCTCCCATCTGGATATACTGTAGCTGAAACAGTAGTCCTGATGCCCAAACTCTGTCAGCTGGCTCCTTTCACTGTGGATGAGCAGCAGTTCTACTCTGGGCCATGCTATGTGATAACTAGCCAAATGTGATGAGAACCAGGATCCCAAAACCCTTTCCCAGATGAGGATGCCAGGAATCCCACCCTCCACTCAGGCCCGGGGAAGATGATGGTTATGTCGACCATGGGGCTCGGCTGGATTCTGCCCCAATGAATTACTCCTATTGGGGTCTAGTCCTTTGTGGGTCAGGGTGGAGACCTTGGTGGTGTGATTGCTGAAAATATCCTCAGATATACTCACTCTACAGCATTAAGTACTTTAATATGCTATTGATCCCCAGAAACAGTATGTATTATTTGAATGAGTAGTAAAAAAAATTGCAAATACCATATAATTTAAAAGTTATGTAGAGTACGTTTGCAAATTGATAGTGAATTAGTTCACTCTGAGTTGAAACCTTTTTTGGAATTAACCACTGAACTAAGCAGTGGCTTGGAGGTTCCTCTTTCACAGTCAGTACAGCAAACTTCGATGGAGCATCAATCAAAACCGGACCGACGTGGGAACCACCCATCCCGTGACGTCACTGGGCTCTGACAAGCTGGTGGTGCCGGAAGAAAAGATGGCGGATCATGAGGAGCAGCTATCCGACGAGGAAAAGGTAAGATGCCGATTTAATTCTAGGTTAAACCTCACAGCGTGAAACGGTAACATCCAAAATCTGAGTTGCATATGGTCCCGGCTCTCGGTGCATCCTGGCGTCGACCGGCATTATGAAATTTGGGGAAAACCCAGGCCTCAGCACAACCTCTGCTGCTTCTGCTCTTATTTTTAGCTCAACTTCCGCTCATTTGCGAATTTCAAACGGAGGCTCCTTGTACGGTCCTGACTCAAAATAGGAACCGTGAACGTCTTATACACTCACCTATGCTCACCACCCGTTCTCTTTTCACCCGGTGGACGTGCCATTTCACTCACGGGTCTCTGCTTACTTATGTTATGGAAGTTTTCATGCACCATGGATCCGCTAGCTAGGTTAGTTAGGGTAGCATAGCCGCAGCCTGCTAACAGACAGCCAGACTTACTAACACGCCCTTTCGCCTGTTGGGTGCCCCTTTTCTGTCTTTAGAAGTTAAAATATTGGAAGCGGTGGAGTGTCGGGTCATTTTATGAAGAGCAAACTGTAAAATCAGCAACCGTATGCTATAGTCTAGCTAGTTTGATAACTCTCGCCCCTCTAAGAAGTAGCAGAGAAAGGTGAGGGAACTACGAGATCCCCCGAATGATATGCTAGAAATTAAAAACTGCTTTTATATTCTGTCCTCTCGTTTGAAGTCTGTTTCTACTGCTGTGAAAGCCTCATAGCAACCAGTGTTGTTTCTAAAACTGTAGCAGAAAACTGACTCATAATTTAAGCAGGATTTACACCAGTGACGCCCATGCAAGAGTGCTGCAGGTTTTTCTCATTTCCTTATAAGAGGACATGCATAGCTGACAGGACGTGTGCCTCAGCTAAGGGGTTTGCACGAATCCTTGTTGGACTGCTAAATGCATTTTTTCGTCGCTAGATTCATTATAGGCTTTGTTAACAAAGTCAGCAGTTAGCGACGAGCAAATTAATATGGCAACTTTTATGCCGGGAATTTATTAATTAATTGTCAGTCTTATAATTTATTTATTATATTGTAAGGTATTAAACTATAAAAGTTTGCAAATGTTTATTGTAAACATTTAAAATGTATTTAACATTGTTTCTAGTGTTTATTTAATTGCCGGACTTCACGATTTAAATGCATAAATGCCTCAGCAATGAATAGATAGTACGAAGAAGCCATAGTTGGAGGTTAGAAGGGTGTATATAAATGTGTAACTGGTAACCTGTGTTAAGGCTCTCCTCATAAACATGTAGTTCTTCCCACTAACCTTGTTAATATCGTAGTTAGCCATTAAAAAATAAACCTTTAATAACTCTTCTGTTTCCATCCTGTGAGTTACGTAACACACTGTTCGGAGTAAGAACAGAAGAAGGGTTTGTTTCATTTTGCCCTGTTCCACATCAAACTATAAAAGTTTCCAGAGTTCTTTTTAGCAATTTAGCAGCTGCATTTGTATAGATGTGTTACACTTTACAACTCACAAGCATCTGCCATTAACCAAGCTTCAAATTTATAAGTGACTGAGGCCATTGTATGGGTTTTTTTCTTTTTCTTTGGTCATGTACTACATTACATTTCAGGACCACCTGAAATGATTTTTTTCAGGTGTGTTCACACGACATGAAGCTGTGGTAAACTCATTGACAGCATTGGATTTTGGTTTTGCGAAGAGGATGGGAGCTCCTTTAATCTTGTAACCACACTGGTTTTGACTATTGTTAAGCCACTTTCATATTTTGACCAGACAGTTTGATTTTTGCAGAGCTGAAAGAATGATGATTGGCTTCATGCCAGGCTGACTGGTAGTGACACCAGACACGCAACCAGTGTTATGCAGTGTTTACCTGGGGGGAAATTGCTCATTTCCTTCTCCGAATACAAGTGGTATGAGGCCAAGATGCATTATGCATCTATTCATGGTGGGTGCGTTCCATTAAAAGCGTAGAGTTTTCCATGCAAACAATGCAGCTACATTTTGTAGTGTACTTTAAAGGGCCGTCTCCGGTGCATTCGCTCCGAGCAGTCAGCCATCTGCTCTGGGCCCTCAGCCCTGTTTTGTAAAACACTGAGGGGAAAAAAACTTGAGGGAGGAAATGAACATTTTCTTCTGCTTGACACAGTGACAGTGGGGAATAGTTTCTATAATTTATGATTTAGTTTGCATATCCCTTTTACTGTCCAGTCATGATTTGTTGAAAAAAAACAACTCATCCACGTGAGTGTTGGTGTCCTGCCAGAAACTGTAACAGTGAGTAAAAGTGACAACCAATGGTACTTTCCAAACTCTTAAGTGAGAAATCTCCCTATTTGCTTTTGTGGGACTCCTCACTTACTCTGATCTGATGTTAGTGAGATGACTGTTTTAAGTTGTGGTGGAAGGAGTTGCCGTATTATTTTGATAAGTCTGGAGCTTTGTCATATACAGTAAAGAATTTGGAGTTTTGCTCTGGGAAAATACTTGTTAAATGTGTCCCTGGAGATTGAAGAATTTCTGTCCTGGTTGTGTTGCGACCATTAGCCTCATTTTGGTATTCATAAAAAAGAAAAAGAAAAAAGCTGGAGCTCCCTGTTTGAAAATTAATAAAGAGACTCTGCCGTTTGTAAATGATTTAACAGCGAGAAGAGTCATCTCTTCCACAGTTACCAAGCACTGCTGTGAGACTTCTTGAGTCATTTGGGCACCAGCCTGCAAGCTTCCTGATATCAGTACAGAAAGAACACACAGTATTACAGGAAACTGTTGTTGCACAATCTGTTAGCAGTCAGTTCTGTTGCCTGAGTGTCTGGGTGTCTTAAGTGTTAAAAAAAGCAGTCAACTCTATTATCAGTCAACTTTATGGTTTTGCTTATTGCTCAACACAACATCCTCACTCAACCCCTGGCTAGTAAATCAGACTTCTATCAGTACAGGAAAAAAGCTCATTTAATTACTCTCATATTGTGCTTAATCTTTAATAACAGTATGAATTATTATGAATTATTAGCAGGTTTATTTTTCAAATTAATAGTTTAAATTAACAAAACAATTGGTGACTGAAGCTTTACATGTTAGACTCCTTTGTGCATGCTGTAGGTTTTGCTGCTATAAAGTTGTTGCTATAAACACTGGTTTCAAAAGTAAAGATAAGAAAAAAATTAGTTACCATGTTTTTTTCTCAAGTGATTTGTGCTGTTGGGGAACCATGTGGCCAGCCAATCAAGTTGTTCGACATATTATTATTTTTATATTTTAACAGCAGTTAGGATGATGATCTAGTACACAGTAAATTAATTCACAGGCCAGCCAACCCATTTACCTAATAACATGTACTTATTTTGACTTTGTTGTAGGACTATGGTAAAAGGAAAAGATATTTGTAAGAGTAGTCTGACTTTCGGTGCTTTGGTTCCTGTTTCAAGAAAGAGAATTAAGCTGTATAATCGGCTGTGACAAACTTCACAGCTGAGGTGGTACTGTCGAATGCCATTTATATAGGGTTGCAAAGTTTTTATTATATTTTGTTCATTGACCCTTTTTTGTTCAACTAGTAGTCCAAGATATTCAGTTTCTATTAAAATATGATAATGGAAAGCAGATCAGTACACTTGAGAAGCTGGGACCAGCTGAATTTTTGGGGGTTAGAGTTGAGGAATAACTGGAAGTATTAATCGGATACAATCACTCAATAGTTGAAAGCATCACATGGTAGTTTCAGCATTTTTGAGTTTCGGTATTTAGTTCTTCCTCTTGTAAGTTGGGAAGAAATAGCTTTATACACTGTGAAAATAGCTGTTGGTGGTTTTTTTTTTTTTTTTTTTTTTTGAGGGTTTACAAGTGTTTCAGTTGTCAGCAAGTACACATGACGCACCCATGCTGCTGAGCAAAAGCAAACAAAGAACCTAAGCAAATGTTATAGTTCCCCCTTTTTCCCACTTAAGGGACACAGCACTCCTTGAAGCAGAATGATGATCCAGACTGATGGGAGCCATAGAGGATGAATAACAATGCAGATTTATGTTTTGATGGCGATGCGACCATAAATGTGAAAGGAGCACCACAAAAATCGAATGAAACATTTTAAAGCAGAATTAGTTTCGGTTTTGTGTAACAAGAGAACTGGATTGTCATGGCTGATAAATGGTGCTGCTTCAGGTAAAGTTAACATGATTTGTCTGGCTGGATCTCAATAAAGATTAGAATGGCAGAAAAAACTGTGTCAGAAAATATTTAGATATTACAGTAATTTACATTTGACAATAAATTACAGAGAACAAGATGCTTGCAGAGTTCTTCCTCTTCTGGGAGATGCATTACTCAGATTTTCTCTTGAGATCACAGTAACTCATTTGGTTTTTTTTGTTGTTGTTATTGTTTGTTTGTTCTTTTGTTTTTCCAGATTTTCCGATGTAAAAGCTTTATTTGCAAACTTGAGTAAAAAGAGCTATAACGAAACCTTAAATAAGGTCATTATTATCAATAAACTAAGGGTGAAAATAAATCACCCTTCATTGCATTTGAAAGTCCCAACAGTCCCAGATGTGTCCCTGAGCTTGGCTTTGAACAGCTGTCTTAGACCATGGGGAATACATAACTAACGGCCAGAACTTGGTGGTTTTTCCATTTTTAACAGACAAATTAAGGAGTCCTGTCTGTATGTGGCTGTAGCAGAACGAATGTGGAGATGTGGAAAGAGAACTCATGAGTAGTTGTGTGGCTTCACTTTTATACTGTTGTCTCACATCAAATTGGTTAAGGCAGCTTTACAGAAAGGAGTAGCTTTACCCTGGTAGGTCTGCTGTCTGGAAGTTGTAATGCAAGCTGCTGGTACTAAATGTGTCACATAGTTGGCTACTTGGAGTAAAATGACCCTATTCCTGTTGTGAGCCAAGGTGACGTAATCTGCAGTAGACAAAGCTGCCTATTCACTATTAGTACAGTTAAAGGTTTACTCACTAACTGCGACCAGAAGTTTGATTCTTGCCATAGTATTCAGCATATGTGTTTTTTTTTTTAAAAGGAAAGAAA